ATGACCACAGGTATATAACTGTAACAGTTAATGAACTAGTCCAGGACCTTTTTTTTTTTTTGGAGGGGGGAGGGGGGGTGAGTCAATGGGGAGAGGGCCCCTACCCTTGTTAGGAATTGAGCCTAGGACATAGCATTGCAAATCGTCAAGCGCTAACCAATTAGGGGCCCGGGCCCTTTTCCTACTAGTCCAGAACTTGATGGAGGCATACAGCATATACCTCATACTTTTACAGGAATAAATGAATTACAGGCCCTTTTGTCATGTTTGTCAACTAGTATAGGAAAAATGCAAGCCAAATGGCATGATAAACTAGCTCACACACCAGATTTTATGGAGATGGTACAGAAAACCCTCCGTATCAATGGCAAAGTTCTCCACCCTAAGATTTTATTAAGCCGCACGTGACATATCAAAGGGATATCATATAACTTCCTAGTTTGCCCCTGTAACATGGCATTGTTGCCTACCCTACCGATCCGATAAAGTCTCAGTCTGACCAACCTATCAGCATCTCAAATACCAATAGGTTGTGTTTTCTATAATTCAAAGAACACTAGGACCCATCCAGACTGAGTGGATGCTCCTCCATCTCATCTGGTCTTATAATACGTCCGCACAAAATTAGCCATTTATTAATACAAGTACAGTAGAATATCAAAACGTACCGACCCTACATGGAATCATACAGCATTCTCCTTTCAAGTTTTGCCTCCGAGAAGACTCATGCATGTAATGGTAATTCCATGCAAAGAGAATTCCATATTGCAAAAGTAGTTCACCAACCCCCACACCATAGTCACCACATTGTGGTTTCCATTCCCATTGATACCACCCACTAACAACTTCAAAATATTTACCCCTAAACCATTTGAAAAAAATGGGTAAGGACCTGTCTTCCCCACTCAATTACCCAAAAACAAAAAAAAAACTACTACTCAGAATGCCACCAATTGGTTCCACGCCCTGCACATGCATCCGTTGTTCCTCTAGCAGAAATGTGGCATTGCCTAAAGTCCATTACACCAAGTATAATTTTTTCAGGGACTTGAGCATGTCGATAAGGTTATGGACATCAACAAGTACTTCCATGCATATTTTCCAGTAGCTATGCATGGACTCCAGAATTTTGTTCTACATAATAAGCATGCCTATGCCAACAGCTGACGCTGGAAGAAAGAACAAGATGTTCATCATTTGCTCCTCCAAGAAAGTCACTTGGTGCAAGTCATGGGTGATTCCAATACAATGTTTTGTGGCCCTAGCAACCATTCAATGGGTTAGGTAGACCAATTATAGCATAACACTCAAGAAGTTTCAGAAGATAGGGATTGGAGAGCAACACTAAACACATACAAGAGCGTCCTCATTATATGTTGGCTAGAAAGAGATATTTTGTCTAAATATCATAACAACATTGAAACAATATTGAATATGCTAGCATATAACAGAAGAAGACATCGTTTCAGGTTAAGAGAAAAGAGATCGGGAATGGACCCAATAACCTCCAACAAACCTAAACACTAACAACTCTTAAAAAGCCATGTGAATCAAAAATACTATATTTTATTGCCTTAAAACCAAAATGAAAATCATTCAACATGTAACAACTATACTAGTAGCTATTAAAACCACTCCTCGCTTATCGAATCTTTGGAGGAGAATGTCAATTCCCCAATTCATGGGTCACAGTTAAAATGATCCATATCACATATTCATTTTCTTCTTTGGAAATCATTAGATTCAAACAACAAGGGCATGCAAATTTAGTTGTTACAAAAGTCTAAACAACAGGAAATAGAAATAATGCGCTCTCAACAAGAAGCAAAGAAGCATCACTTTTTCACTACTACTCTTTCAGAATAATATCTCAAAAAACGGAGCATGAATTTCCATCAAAATGCTAGGCTTCTGTCCCTCATGCTCAGTATTGAGCATTAAAATTTTGAAGGATTCCTATCATAAAATTCAATAACCTTAGGACCTGTATGGATGACAGCTAATTTTATCAGGAATAGACAAGCTTATCCAAAATAATGATTATCCCATATAATATTACTAACTTATCCAAAATAATGATTATCCCATATAATATTACTTTGTACTACTTTGTTAGGTGTCTGGTAAGGACACAATAACAATTTATTAGTTGTTTGGTAAACCCAATCATCTATCTGGTGTAAAAAACTCTTTTTAATATTCAATTACGCAAATCCCCTCAAATTTTGGATAAAAAACAAGCCCTACCATATTGACCCTCACTGCGTAATGTTCCCCAGAACTAATTCTCCAAAGTTTGGGGGTTTTGAGAAAGGAGCTTTAGGGTTAAATGTGTGGCCTGTTTTAGGGGTTTTGAGACTCGTTCGATGGGGTTGAGTATTCGCAGGAGGTGGGTTGTGAAGATGCAGATGAGGATTATTTGAGGTTTTGGCTACAGGTTTTATGGGTCTGAGGATTTGCAGAGGAGGTTTCATGAAGAAGGAATTTATTTGGGGGGTTTTTGAAAATTGTTTTAATGGGGTTGAGGAATTTACAGGGAGTAAATGTTTTAATGGGGTTGAGGAATTTACAGGGAGTAATTGTTTTAATGGGGTTGAGGAATTTACAGAGAGACAGACAGAGAGAGAGAGAGGGAGAGATTAGTTTTTAGGGTTTCTGAGCTGCTGCTAATTATGGACCTGGCTACAACTTTGAGCAGCAGCCTGAAATTGATGGTATGCTTCAGACCTAGAGCTGAAATCAAAATTTGCATGTGTGAAATTCATGGCTCTCGTTAGTGATTCTTGAGATAATGGATGTTTTCAGCAACAGCACTGTGAGAGAAACAGAGAGAGATTAGCGGCTCCTGGCTGTCATTAATGGTAGAGCTGGCTGCAACTTTGAGGTTTAGAGAGAGAGAGAGCTCGTGCAACTTTGTGAGTTTGACAGAGAAGAGAGAGAAACTTAGTGGGTTAGGGGGAGAGAGAGAGAGAGAGAGAGAGAGAGAGAGAGAGCTTGATCATGCAACTTAGTGGGTTTGAGAGAGACACTGAGAGCGCTTAAGCTTGCAGGGAGGGGTGGGAGGAGAGAAAAGAAAGAAGGGGCTGACAAAGTTGGATGAAGATATAAAGCACAAGTTAAAGGGTGTGGTTACTACAAGGTTGCAACCTTGAACAATCCAATTAAGGCGCACCTCCAAAACAATCATAAGATTATCTGAAAATCTATTTTTATATCTAATTATAAAATTTTAAACTCCAAAAATGATTAAAATCAAGATCTATAAACATATGAAAATCTTGATAATGGACGGTCAAGATAATGTATTGCAAGATGCACTATTTCTGGGACTCAAAATCTTTTATTTTATTTTTTATATTCATACATCTCGATGTCGAGATGATCAATTAGAGGGTTTTTCAACATTAAAACAACCTTTTCCAATGGATTTTTGAAGTCCATCATTAATTCTACATTTTAAGATTGCAACCTTATATAAACTTTTTCTCAAGTTAAAAACACTTTTCATTTGAGATAACTTTATTTAAAACCTAACTATAACACATGACCAGACAACAAATAGCTCCTTATCATCCATATCTTTAACTGAACAGTTAATTACTTGTGATAACGGGTGCATCCAAACAGACCTTAAGGATTTGACCATCCCAACTAAAGGATAGCATCCGGTAAGGCAAAATTAAAAAACAAAAAGAAAAAAAATAGTAATAAAGAAAGAGTGGTGTTATCGATGCAATAAGGACAATGCAGCGCTGTTGTGGAAGTCAAAAACCACCCTCCATTCGATAAGAACCTCCAGGGCCCCATGCTTAGTAAGATTGTACACCTCAGGTGGCTATCAAAGTGATCCCACCTTCCCAGAGCGGAACCATGGGTAGAAATTTGTCCGAAATAAGTGGGTAAATGATCAATAATGATTCACACCCATGTTAAGTATGTTTGTTAAAAGAAACAAAGGATCAAATGCAAATCTATGAAGAAAATAAATCATTAATGTTTCATGTTTTTGTACATATTTAAATAGTAAAAGAGATGCTTAAATCCAGGTCAGTCAAAAAAAGGTCTAGCAATCAAAAAAGAAAGTAAGATTGATGCAAATCCATGTAGTATACTCTTTCCAAATCGATAAAGATCCTTTAAGCTATATCAATCAAAATAAAGGAAGTCATAAATGCATTTCTCTTAAAATTTCACTTAGAACGAAGTGCACCTCCCACGTTTAACAGCTTTTGTCTAGAACAGTTATGGAATTTCGAGGTTGCCACCTCTTTTATCTCTCTCTTCCTATCCCATGCTTTTGCTTCTTTTTGAGTTTGAAATTTTAGGTGGTACATAGGAAAAGGGCAAAATTTATATATGATATGATCAGATCTATTAAAATGAATTTTTTTATTGACATTTGTGATACGAGCTCCTCCTATACCTTTCTTCCATTAATAAAATATTTATTTAAAAATATTTGGTTAAATAAAATTTAAGTATCAAAAATTAAATAAATATTCATTGTGAAGGACTAATATATGTAAGGCTTGAGTAAATAAATGAGTTTTAAAATTCACGAGTAAATATGTTTGTTAAAAATAAGTTCAATTTCTAAAACACATTGTCCATCTAAACAGAACTTCAAAAAAATTGTTATCCATATATGTTTAAAATTTTCCTCTTTTCATATAATCCATACAAGCAATCCCATGAAGACCACAAGCAATGGTCCCCAGCTCCCTCTTCCTCTCCCGCTTCCAAAAAATATGGCCTCATATTTTCAGCAGGAAATACTTGCAGAAGGATTTTGTGTAAGTGGAGCTAATAGGCACATGCACAAAGAAGTTTACATAACTCATCTCAGAGAGATGATGAAGCAAGGGGTACGAATCCAGACACTGATTCATGGAGCAAAATTATCTTGGGGCGGGGAGGGGAGAGGGGGTGTTGGTGTTAAGGAATTCAATGGAAAGCTCATTGGATACTTAGGAAGATACTCTGGACTCGAGGAAAAGGACATAAGTGGAAGTTCGAATTCTTTTAGCTAGTTTTTCAAAGTAGTATGGGGTATCCAACACTTCAGCACGAGAGAGAAATCAGGCATAGATATGATATAGTGGGGCATAAGCCCATGTAGGAGTTGAGGCACTCATCAATTTCTGAACTTCTTTTCTTGATTTAATACTCCGTGAAAATTGCAGAGTACATAATAAAACTTTGGTCCAAGGATTGAACGACCCCAACTTTGGGCCATCCTATAGATAATACATGCAATGTGATAGAAATGAATGCATGGCAATGCTTCCGAAAATTAGTATGGGTAACAAAGAAATAGAAATGACAGGATAAGAAAGAAATAGACATGACCAGCTTGATGAACTAAAAGAATCTTCAAAACCAAGCAAAGAACACAGAACAATGAATACCTGAAAATACAGGAAAACATGCACTTCTCAAACTAAACCTTTAGCCCACTAAAGGAAACAAATAGCTTTCATTGTTCCAAAACTATGATTACAAAACAAACCATGCAACAAGTAAAAAGTGGCAAGCCCTGTAGAAGTCTTCATTTCACATCAACATGCGTTACAAACACAGTAGGAAAAGAAGATATAAACATATACCGCTACAAACTATTCATAAAAAATACCTGATTTCGAGCTCTTATCAGCTCGTCCTCTGAAACTCGGTATGCTAATCTACAAAATTCTTGCATCATGAGATTTGACAAATCATCCAGCCGGTCAGGCTGCAGCCAATATCATGAACCAACAATCAGAGAAACAAAAACAGTGTGAATCAGAGAACATCAAAAAACAGAGCATGCATAAAGAGAATCCCATAACCCATGCACTGGTCTACTTCAAACAAGATTTATAACCACAACCTGGAGACAAGTATTAATAAACCACTATAACTACATTTAATGTCATTATATGTACATGCTAGAGTCATGTTACATATCCACTTGTTACGTCATGCATCTATACAAGGAACTCAAGGGTACCCATCAAGGAAGGATAGGTGTGTCAATAAAGACATATGATAGTCCAGAATAGTACATGTAATCACCTCAGTTGCAAAGAAAACTGACAGCCTATGAGGCCATGTGCAACACATTTTGGAAGCAAAAGGATGAACCTACAGGAAAGGAAATGAAGTATCTACATGGATGAATGAAGTAAGGCACAAAATAAATCTGATTTGAATTTTCATAGTGCTGCAGGAGCCAAATGTTTTACCCCCAATTAAAGGGGAAAAATGATGCGTACCTAAGTTTATAATGAATTGCATGAGGGGAAAAGTGTAAATTTATCCCAGTCTATATCTTTTATATGTTCAAAGAATAACAAAATGGGACCATTTAACCCATTACACTAAGTATTCATAAATAGTTAATTCTAACTCAAATCCAATTGATAAAGACTACAAAATGGTTCAAGACGGTTCGGATGTTTAGAGCTTAAATGCATACGGTCTTTTGATAAATGCGGATAAAGGTTGAATTACAGACTGATAACTAGTGAAACTTCAACAGGGAGCCCCCCTAAAAAGGATTGGAACCATACAGGAGACACCAAGGCCATACTGTGCAATGCCACAGTAACTAATCAGAATGGCATTTTCTTTGGCTAAGCCATCTTGGGTTTCGTCCAGGGTCATGCATACGGCGTATCGGAACTTTAAGGTTGGTCCGTGTAGCACAACGGGTTTCGTCTTCATGGTTCATGGTTGTGGATGAAGAGTGATGACTAAAGAGTTTGGGTATGAGTGTGTGCTCTATAATTTATCTGTAGATGGGAAACTATGTTGATGTACCACAAAATCACAACTTACTAAAACTGTCGTATGACTAGATTGTTGTAATAATTTACAGTGTTCACGTGTCATTTACATAAACCTTTTTAATAACGACTAATGGACTGCCTACATTACTGGATGCAAGACTGACGAGAGGAACATGGAATGATATTCTTATCCCAACATGTCATAGTAATAAGTAACATATAGCTTGCTTCTGCAAAAGCATACTATACTCTTTCTCCAAAGGGAAAATACCCACTTATTATTGTATGATATAAAATTTTAGGAACCACCAAATAATTACCATATCACCATCTGAGATGTCTCCAAAATAAGTAAATAAATATGAGTCCTTGTACACTGATCTGATTATCTGACTGCCCAAAAGAGGGACGGTCCATCTTCAACCCTAGGGTGTGCGTAAGTCCAGGAACTTATAGGCAACATTTGATTCCTAGGCCATATTGAAATTTGGACCGAATAGACATCGAAGTATTTGCAATTTGACCTAGAGAGCTATTTGATATCAACTTTGAATTGATTCTCACAGGCAATGGGGGCTTCAAATTGGAAACTTTAAAACGCCACTCCTATGATTTTGCATAACCACTTGGAGTGATTTTTCAGGAGGGGGAAATAACAAACAATATCTCAAGTTAAAATATACAGCAGCAACAAAGAAACAAATAGAATAAAGAGAACAAGGGAGGAGAAGATCTAGAGAGAGAAAGGAAGAGGCTTAGAGAGGAGTCACATTGAGAGAAGGGCGACGATCACGTTACATACCCCTTTGTTTCATCATAAATATATAAATTTTTACTATGGTACAATTATGCCCTTAAGCGAGGAAAAAGATAAGTCCTAAGGGACTTAAATAGAAAAGAAAGTGCAATAAGCTTTAATGTTTACAACACTCCCCCTTAAGCTAATGCATGGATATCAAGCATGCCCAACTTGCTTAGGTTCACTTGTAGTCGGGATTTCCCAACAGACTTGGTAAAAATATACACTAGCTAAGCTAGTCTTTCATTTTAACATATGAAAGGCAAATTTCTCCAATAGCAACTCCTTCTCAAATGACATGTCGGTCTACCGCTATGAGCTTGGATCTATCATGTTGGACGGGATTGTGAGCTACACGAATGGCTCCCTTGTAATCACAATTTAAGGACATTTACCCCTTCACTGGAATACCAAGCTCTTGTAATAGAATTTTTTAACCAAAGCAATTCACACACACCATGAACCATGAATCAGTACTTTTCTTTTGCGCTTGAACAGGCTACAACAAATCATATTTCACTCCTCCAAAGTCATAAGGTTACCCCCAACTAGAGTCCGTTGCATTAGAACTAGCCCAACAACAACTGTGTACCCAATTCTTCGGACACCACCATTAGACCTCAAACTAAGCTGAGGAGATTGCTTTAGTCCATAGATGGCCTTTCTCAATCTACAAACTTTTTCCTCATTTCTAAGAGCCCTAAATCTAGGTGGAGGCACCATGTACATATTTCTTCTTATAGTTCCCTGTGAATGAATGCATCCTTGACATCTAGTTCATGCAAAGGCCACTCCAAGTTAGTTCCCAGAGACAAAAGACCACGAACGGAGCTCATCTTAGCCATGGGAGCAAATCTCTCCTGATAGTCTAATCCATAAGTCTTAACCCCTTGGCAACTAATCGTTCCTTGTTGTTTCTGTTGATTGTACCATGGGGCCTTGTGCTTTAATAACGTATATCCATTCGCAACCAACTTCAAATCTTCAAGAGGGTCAACCAATTCTCCTAATTAATTCCATTATCTCCTTGCACATAGCCTCCTTCCATGTGGGATGAGCTATAGCTTTTGTAACACTAGAAGGAATAGAAACAAAAGAGAAAGAAGACATAAAAGCACAATAGGAAGGAGACAAGAACTTAAAAAATTAAAGTGCTAATCAGGTGTACAATGCAACGTCATCTACCTTTTCATACAACAACAGGAAAACCAGAATCATCACTCTAAGATCTAGCGCGATCACATGGATTAAAGGTATGCAATGGCTAGGAGTCCTGACAACCCCCCCACCACCCCCAAAAAAAAAAAAATCTAGAATCAGAAAAATAAGGATATGACGAGGAAACAGTAGACCTCTCCTCCAAACCACTCCCTTGAAGAGAAGCGAGGAAAAAAGGAATGCACTCAAAAGAGGTTACTTACGTCAAGACAAAACTTCTTTCTTGAACTGAACCATAATATTTGAAACCCTATGAGAGGACAGATAACATTTTGCACATTTGGAATCAAACTTTATATGATACAAACTAAGAAAATGAGAAAAGAAAACACAACCAAAGATTTTAGGGGAAACACTAAACAATGGACAATCAGGACAGAGAGGTTTATAGGGAGATCGTAGCCTAGAACACAAAATGGCATACAATATAAGATAAGATGTGGTGAGCACAGCATCAGACCAGAATTTCATGAGTACATTCATACTCAAGAGGAGCACAACCAACTTCTAAGAGGTGTCTATTCTTTCTTTTAGCCACATCATGTCAGTTTAGTGTTTTTCCCCCCCTTAGAGGTGTCTATTCTTTCTTTCAGCCACATCACTTTGGTTTAGTGTTTTTTTGTCCCCCCTTCTTCTTTTGGTCTTTTATTTATGTAAATTATTTCAAGTTTAGGATTGTGTTTGTGGCCCATATTCTTTGATTGAAAATGGACCAATAATGCGTCTTTCGTTTTTTGTTTGGATTTTGTTCTTGTATTTTCATTTTGCGTTTATGTGTGGATTTGTGCCCCATATTCCATAATGGGTTTTTGTTTGTGTTTAATGGCATTTTACTAAGATTGGGTAACCCAATCTTAGTAAAATCTCTAAAATTTAATCGAAATAGTTTATTCCGACTTGATTTTCTTGTTTTTTTTTGTTCATGTATATTTTCTTTTGAAGTTAATATTTGGATTTGTGCCCGATAATCCATAGTGGATTTTGTTTGTGTTTAGTGGCATTTTACAAAGATTGGGTAACCTAATCTTAGCAAAATCTCTAAAAGCGAAATGGTTTATTGCTATTAAAAAAAAGGTTTTTGTTTGTGTTTAAGGGCATTATACTAAGATTGGGAAACCCAGTTTTAGTAAAATCTCTGAAACATAATCAAAATAGTTTTTTTCTATTTGATTTGCTTTATTTGCTTTTCTTCTTTTTTTTCTTTTTTTGTTCATGTATTTTTTTCTTTTAAAGTTAATATTTGGATATGTGCCCGACAATCCATAATGGGTTTTTGTTTGTGTTTAGTGGCATTTTACAAACATTGGGTAACCCAATCTTAGGAAAACCTCTAAAACTTAATCGCAATGGTTTATTGCTATTTAATTTTCTTGTTTGAGTTCTTGTTCTCGTATTTTTGTGTTTAAAAGTTAATTTTTGGATTTGTGTCTCACATTCCATAGTGGGTGTTTATTTGTGCTTAGTGCATTTTTACCAAGATTGGGTAACTGAATTCTATAATTATCAAGTCTAACGCAATTCTAGTTTTAATGAAGCTTCAATTTGTTTTCACTTTTCAGGTTTTGATTAGGTGAAGATACCTTCTTCTAGTTCTAACAAACAATCTGATCCAGGATGGCAATATGGCTTGTGCCCTAATCCCAATGATAAGAATTGTGTGGAGTGCAGATTTTGTAAAAAGAAATACAATGTTGGCATAAATAGATTGAAAAAACATTTAGCCAATATGAGAGGGGATGTGGCCCCATGTACCCAAGTCCCACCAGATGTTAGAAAGGAGATGTTGGATCATCTAGAAGGGGTCAAAAACAAGAAGGAAGCAGCAAAGAAAAACGTGAAGATACCCTTATAATCAAGCATTGGAGATTTATAACCCGCTTATAATCAAGCATCATGCGACACATGGATAGAAAGTGACTGATTTAGAGGCCAGTAGGAGATTAC